TCAAACTCGGTGAAACGGAGGACGAAGTCCCTGAAAGCCACCATCGAGGGAACTAATACTTAAATTGGAAGAGGAAAGGAAGACCCGCTGGAAACGGCATCCTCCTTCGAGACCAGCTTCGATCCCAGGTCAGCCGCGGCGCTGGAAACCGTTGATCGAAGTCCTCCACCAAGACACCACGCTTAGCTGACAGGATTCGGATCCTATTCCGGGAGCAAGGGATCACCATCGTCAGCATTCTGACTGCATTGGGCTTCATCATATCAACCCTGGTGGTGTCATTGACGCCTGCCGGCGGCAGTGGTACACCAACACCAACACCACCAAGTGGTGGGGGTGTCAAAGACTGGGTAAAAAAACACCTGAAATCCCTAGGGGAAGCCCTGGCTAAACTGGCTGGTAAGGCCGCCGAAGCCCTACCCGGCATCCTGGGTAGCATCGTCTCGTGGCTGCTGAGTGCTCTGGCTAAAACTGCCACGTGGCTCGGCCAAAACCTGTGGGCAACCATCGTTGCCGTGGCGGGTTTGGTGTATGTAGCGGCTAAGGAATTTTTAACCAAATAAGTCCCAAAGCTACCCCGCCAACCACCATAGCTGTTTTACGATCGATATGCTGCTGATTGGAGGCCTGAATGTGTGGGGTCACCCCCACAGGGGGTGTTGGTTGAACCCTAGGCTCCACTATACCCGTTTCACCGGTCGTGGGTGGTGGGACGTGGTGGATGTTGACATCGAGGTTGACGCCCAACTTTTGACTCAACGTGGCTATGACTATTTCGTTGTTGTAGCCCACCACTTTTTTTACTCTCAGTTGCATATTTCTCGGAGCCATGTACAACCCCACATCAAACACGTAGTCGACTTTCGACCTGGCATATTCCAACACGTCTTGGTAGCGTTTGATGGCACTCGGGAGATCAACTGGAGCATTGATAGCTTTCTTAACGTTTTCAACGAACTGTTCCTGCGCGCCATAAGCAGTCCCCTTACCAAGGATGTTGGAACGCATTTGCATCTGAGCCCCCAACAGCGTCCACACGTACGTTCGAATAGAGTCGTTCGGTGCCGGCACGAGTGAACCCTTTCGACATGTCCAGCATGAACTTTTGCCAGTCATCCGCTGCCCCCTGCTCGAACCTCCAGACTCGGTAATCCTTGCTGTTGTCGAAAGCCATGTAACGGTCATCCCACTCGTTCGTTGAGAGGTGATGATACGACTTGTATCCCCATTCTTTCAACTTCTCGCTGGCATCCACGAGGTGCATATTGTGAATGATGGGGATACCCAACCCGTGGTTCGGCCCGTACTGGTTGTTTACTGCGTCCCATGCGTCGTCCTGTGGGAGCGGGGCGCTGATCTCTTTAAGGATACGCCTGACCTGGTAGTACACGTGAAACATGAACACAGACTGACTCAGTGGTCCACGCAGAGTGTCGGTCAATGTCACACCACACCCCGTTGTAGCACACCACACAGCGAAGTTTAGTTGATTCTGCCAGAACTGCATCAGGTTGTTGAACCAAGCATGGACTGCCTTGACGTTAGTCACCGAAAGCTTATACTTGTCGAACACATCTAAAAGCCGGGAGTTGAAATACATCCCATCAGCGACTACGATCTTCATGGGTGAGAAATTTACGTCCAGTTTAGGGTAAAACACTCCAGGGGAGTAAGACACTCCAGGGGAATACATTTTAAAACTATTATATAATGAGTTTATATACTCTAACATGTACATAACACTTCTAGGAATAACGAGCGGCGAGGCCGCTCAGCTGGCTGACGACGCGACATCGATAACACATCGGGTCAACTCGAAGTCGCGACTGTGCGATATCACCTACCTACCTCGATGGACTAACATCAACGCTAGCAACAATAAACTGTTCGTAGGTGGCCGCAACCAGATAACTGACGGCTACTACAGCGTGTGCTCGCAAGTAGCGATTTAGGTCTTCAAACCCTTGGGAGCCGAACTCAAGATGAACGACTCAAACGGCACAGTGGAGTTAATCAACAACGGAAGAAACTCCTTGAGACTCTGCCGACCATTGGCGAGGACACTCGGTATGTCGCCTGACGAGATAAAACCAACAACTACCGTCACAGGCACGAAGTTACCCGACCTAGTACCGTATCGAGAGCTGTGCATTCATCTCAGCCAGGTTAGCACAACGGACAACATTCAAGGGGGTCACCCTTCCACTATACTCAGAGCCGTACCGGTGAAAACGGAGAAATACAACGACGGCAGAACCGAGTCGTTTTCACCGCGGCAGTATAAGAGGTTAACCCAGGGCAACATCCCTGAGCTGATAATATCGGTGTGAGATATAAATCATAATCTCGTGAATATAGGATACCTTAGCATAACGCTGCACATAAAATGACCCACGCACAAGGCCCCGGAATGAAGTTGAAAAAATGCATCAATGTGGGGATCTCCGACCTGGGGACACGCCGGATTCGACGACACTCGAGTAGATGGTAAATTGTACTTTGCAACTGAAAACAGCATTTACAAACGCGTTGAAGTCCCCTCCAATGGTACTAGCAACTTAAGTGATATAGTAGATACCACAAGAGCGGCAGTCAACACTAAGTACACCCTAGTCACCACCGGGGATGATAAATGGATAATATACCCATCGTTCGGGGGCAAACTGTTCGACTTAACCGATGTTGAGAGCACTACCGTTGCCCGAAACAAGCCATATACACGCTCGTCTTCACCGAAGATGACAAGTGGGTGTTGTTACCCGATAAAGCCGACTGGTTTCTCAATATTAGGCTCGGCTCCCCCTACGTGTTCACGGATAACAAAGACAACCACCTAAACAAAGTCGTGAACAACGGAACCCTGCTCGTGGCTTACGTCCCGACTCAGAGACGTAGCGTAGTCATCAGCCCACTCGCCAGTATGCGGGCATGCAAAACGTGGTATTGCAGTTGGTGTCTGAATTCGAAGGTGTGGTCAAGATACTGGAGAGTCTACCAGCGAACTCAACACTGATCATCCAAGTCTACCTAGGGGAACCATCGCGGGATGATGTCGAGATCTTGAAGGGGGTCAAACTCCGGTTGGGGAAACAACACCAGTATCACGTTTGCAACGTTTACGTGCGGGTGGGTGTCGACTCCAAAACCAGTCTGCAGGGTGTCACCGTGATCGTGGAAGACACTATATCACTAACCAAGATCTTCCTACCCGACAACATACACTTCATGGGGGTGAAGTGCACCCCTGAACTATTATCAGAAAACCAGTTGGAAATTATATCGTAATAGTATTATAGCAATGTCTTGGCTTCACCCCAACACTACACTTAACGACTTAGGGGACACGGAGGGATTCGATCAGCCTGGTGAGGAAGACACCTTATACATCCTACACTTCAAAGACAGCGTTTATAGGCAGGTGTCGTTATCAGATTTTAAAGAGCCTGAATGGTTAGTCAACTTAACCTTCACCTCACCTTATGTCTCATTTAAGGAACGTAATTATATCTCTGAAATTAGAAATAGAGGTACCATACCCTCGTGTTTCGTTCCGGGCCGTAATACACGGATTGGACTAAACTCGACTTTACCCGGTGGACGGGACTGATACTACCCTTATGGTAACCAGCATGGGACTAGGGGCGGCCGGTGTTGGGTTGTTAGCCACCATCGTGGCTGCACCTATAGTGCTAGGTATTGAAATAACAGCTGGGGTGACAGGGGTGTTAGGGTTGGTGCTTAAATTTGTATCACGCAGACTGCATCGTAAAGCGTTGAAACACGACGAGATCAGGGTTCTGGCTGAAGCAAAGTTGAACACGGTAAGTGAGCGTATTTCCACTGCACTCACTGACAGTAAGATCTCAGAGGAGGAGTTTCGTTCAATCCTCTCTGAACTCACAAAATATGACAAAATGAAACAAGAGATTCGATCCAAGTCACGTAAGTCTGCTATCAGCGAGGACGAGAAAAAAAAGTACATAGAACAGGGGATACAAAAAGCCCGGCAAGCCTTTATTACGAACACCAAAGAGATCATAGGCGATTCACATTAAACTGTTTCATCGAGGTCAACGTGACATAGTGTCATAGCGGCAGCTATACAACATAGATAAAATGAACATGAAATCAGACGAACCTACCTTGTATTACTTGAGGTATGGGCCAGGCAGAGGACTATTGATCGTAGTGTTACCTCCTGTCAACACGGCATAGTGTCACGTGATGCGTGGGTGCGCGTGATCTACCCGTTAAATTGACCTACTTCAGCTAAGTCCGCTGTCACGTGATGTGTGGGTGCGCGTGATCTACCCGTTAAATTGACCTACTTCAGCTAAGTCCGAGGTAGCTCAGTCGGTTGAGTGGTGCGGCCCATTATGTATAGTCTGCGCAAGCTATACATGTGGGTTCATATCCCGCCGTCACAACTTTGTGTGATGTGAGGTTCTCTCACGGTGAGAGACACAATTCCCTTGGGAGGAAGCGCAATACATTTCTATTTCTCCCTTTGGGAATTGTGGCTGCCGGGAACATTTTACTACTTTTTTATATCGGCGCTTGAAATTTTTATAGGTTGGGAAAGCAGTAGGGGTAACGGTAGCAAGAGCTAAGGGTCCGACCAAAGCCTTATTTGGGAAATAAGGCTTTGTAGAGGCTTTTGTTGGAACTGGTCCCGGACAATCATTATATCTACTACTTGGTATTATATATTAGCTCTCCAGTCCTGTTTTTCTAAGCATTCTGATTGCATATTTAAGATGCACTGTTTTCAATGTAAATGTTCTCCTTAACAAAGTAATAGTGACTGCTCTGTTAGTATGAATATTTGAATTGATCTAGCAGAGAGAGATGAACCATTCAAGCAAAAGGTATGTGCAGTAACACATTGTATTTTACCAGCATACTTGTATACATGCTTGCACCCTGAAGGTACAGTCAAGGCTGAATATTTACTGCATATCGTAGAGCCGCTTTTTGTAACTATTCGGCTTTGTCCACAGTTTCACCTTTCAAATGGTCCACGATCAGACCGAATGGCTGGCAACGCGGAAAAGGGCCGAAGTAATACTGGAGCATTACAGCAAACCACCACTACCCCCTCCTTTCAACGTCTTCTTTCACGTTGGCTCTTTTCTCTATGCATGTTGCAGGACAGCACGAGGGGCACCAAAAGAGGGTATGTATAGAAATGTAGGGTGGAGGAAAGGGGTTTTAACAGTGCGTTCAGGATCATTAACCTATGTGTGGGGAGAGAATATATATCAAATGTTGATCGATAATTTCATCAGAATAAGTTCAATTGCACGAATGAACGCACCCTGCAATAGTCTGTCTCTCTCAAAGTTCAGCTTAATAGTTTCTCTAAATAAATGTACAAGACGTGTATATCCGTTCGGTATCAGCTTAATGCAGTTGTTGCACTGGACAATTGTTCAGTAACTGTTAATGTATTCTACAAATACCTCTCGGATGATCATAATAGCAATATAGGCTGAGAACATATAGTGAGTAAACTGTATTAGCATGTATCTTTCTAACAGATAGTCATTTACTTTACCGTATGTACGTACCCAAGAACGTTTCTTTCAGACAAATATTGGAATGAAGAATTGAATTCCTGGGAGAGGTCCATGGCAGAGTACTACCTGGCCACTGAAGATTTCGAGTCAGGAAGCGAACGGATATCTCCACTCGGGTTTGTCTTACTTGATGGCTCTTGATTAAAGAAACTGGACTAATAATCAGTACGATCTCAACTCAAATCTTAGAAAATATTTTGGGTACACAATCCATAAAGCAACCACGTCTTGGGTTAAATAATAATATATTCTTTTTTCTTTCTTTATCCTTTTACTTCCTTATTTTCTTATAATAATTGGTGTGGTGTGGTATTAGATTGACTGAAAATGAACAAACTTTCAATAAATAAACATTAAGAGCTTTGTACACAATATTCGGTCAAAATTATCAAACTGCATTAAACAGATATTTATATTCTTTATACTATTTAAATTGATAAATGTGAATAATTAAAAAACCGACCAGTTTAACCAGTAAACAAGAAAGCACATGTTTGGAAATTTTGCCCTTCTTAACAGCAAAACAAAATTATTACCAAATTTTCCATAAGAACATGAATTGTAATTTAAACAATAGGATAATTCTTCAGGCCAAAGGAGACAAAGTAATAAAAACTCACCATTATTGCTGACCAAGCACATGGCTGCTGAGGTTCGAGTCAGCTCATCACTGCATGACTTCTTCATGCACTGAATTACAATCTCAACCAACAGTTATCTCCCTTTGCCAGATACTTTATAAATGTTGACACAATGATGAAATAAGAGTAATTTAGAACAATGTATGAGACAAATACAAAAAGAGTAAAAACATACTTTGGGCCATTACAAAATGTATTTTTTCTACTCTTTTTACATTGGGTTTGGTGAAAATGTTTTACTTTGTTTGAAATGACGCATTCCTATTATCAGATGAACAAGAAGGTGGGAATTTTGCGGCTTTTACGGCAGTCATTCCTGTCAATATGTAGTAGTTACTATGGTGTAATTATAATTGCCATCGCGTGGTAGCGTGAAAAAGACAACGACATCGCAGAAATACACAAGAATGATCTACAACTAAAATACAAAATCGACGCCACCCATGTCGAGGGCTTATGTCGTGTTTAGAAATTGTTATTTTGGAAAATCGGGGAATAACCTTTGTAATGCAGTTGTACTGCTATTGATCTCTAATCACTCATTTCATGTTCAACATTACTGCTTATTTAAGTAAACTAGTCGAGGGGTTAGTGCCAGAGCACTTATGTAAAAAATTCTGTCAAATTTAGTTGATGTTAGATGTTGTGAAAACGGTGTTGTTTTAAGGGATTAAGACACTGGTTTTCTACAAAATATAAAATGTGTCCACTCAGGAAACGAAATATGACATTTGTACCAGCGGGTTGACATGCGAACCAGCGGGTTTAGTGAGTGAGTTTAGTTCACTCAATTCATTAGTAGTGAGTTATTCAATTTCTTACATAAACTTGCAATCTATAAGAATGTTGGAAATGACAGTTTTCATCATCATTTCCACAACTTCAGTAATGGCAAATGCACAATAAGTTTCTTCCTACTTCTCGTGGTGAAACAGATATATATATATGTAAATGGTTTATGTGAATGTTTATTGTGAACAAGAACAAAAGGGAAGAATGGATGTTGTAGATGCATTCAGAAATACTGCATATCAATCTCAACAGTGAACGACATAATTTCCCAAATACCCCAAAACCACAAACATGGACCTGTACACAACGAAGTCAAGGTGAATCTTTTCGACTGAACCAAAAATACTGACGGCACAAACAAGAACATCGGGTGTTGGCATGGTCGTCTGAAGAAGGTTGTGGGAACACAACATGCCAACCTTTTCGAGATGGCCAAGTTCTTGGCAGATGAACAAGGACTGAACGAGGCAAAGATGCTTCAGTACAATGCCGGCCAAAGACTGGCCCCAAAAAGAAGTACAGAGATTTGGAGGAACGACTCGATACCTTGAAGTTCAGGCTTGCAAATAACGACCTGACATTGATGGAGTACCTGGACAATGCCTACTATTGTGTGAAGTTGTTGAGTTAGCAGTGATTCTTGGTTCTGGTATATCTGTGTTGCCTGTATATTTTGCTTTCACCATATATGATTTGTACTATTTAACTTAATTCATAAGGAAAGGTTATGATTTTTAAGGTGCTTATGTTATCGCTATGCACGTTTTATGTATAATATATTATGGTATATGAATGTGTATTACTTATTATGTAGACAATAGGAATTACCGTCTCAAAGAATGTTTAAATAAAAATGACATTTTACAGCGTGAATCTTGTCCGCTTATTTTCGGTGAACATTTTAGCATGAATCCTAAAACATTGACTGCCCATTGTCAGGAACTAGTCGGCCTTAGAGATACACGCTGCAAACCTACCATTTTGTTTTACACCCATCCAAAGGTCGCGACTACGGGACCTAACCCCTTTAGACTTACAGCTGATAAGGACCTCTCTCAGGGGGTCAGATTGTCTTAATTACTGTTATTCTGGTGTTGCCATATATAAGCGTTTCTGTCCCAGCTTTTCAGGGTTTGTTTCACACTAGCCAGGATTAGTTTATTTTGACCATTGGGAGAAAAGCTATTTTCCAAAGTGTGTGTTTGTATTAGGAAGGTTTACAGTACACAGGAAAACCCACTGAAACATTACAGGTAAGTCATATCTGTAAATAGTAAATAAGTACTTGTTAAATAACTTTATATATAACACACACGAGTGTGGTAATATACTTTGTATTTCACCTACGAGATATGCTGTGAGTATAAAAGTTATTTGCCAGCTCTATTTAAAATTGAAACTAAATTGATTTAATTATTGGCGTTATTATTATCAAATCTGGTTTTAGGTGTATGCAAGATGACTGAATTATGGTCCGACGCAGATGAAGATGAATTATCTCAATCTGACTTTGCCACATCTACAAGTTGCCACTGATATGTGAGACCATTCTAATTCTATTACACATAAACCAAACCCATGTGGGGTGTTCCTGGATACCCGGCACAATCTGATACACCATCGGATATACCAATACAGTAGGACGCAAATGATGAAGAGGATGAGTCAATGGATATACTAGCACCGGGTCATACCACTGACGATAATCAAACCCAGTTTGTATCAATACAGCGTGATGTGCCTCTTGATTTACAAAGGAAAATAGATACTACGTCCAGAGATTTACCACAACAGGTTGACACGCCAGTACAGAGTGATGCGCCTATATACATACCAGTACAGAGCGGTATGATTAAGCCTACAGACACACACACCACCAGTACAGAGCGGTGCGCCTACAGACACACCAGTACAGAGCGGTGCACCTACAGACACACCAGTACAGAGTGATGCGCCTACAGACACACCAGTACAGAGCGGTGCACCTACAGACACGCCAGAACAAAGTGATGCGCCTACAGACATACCAGTACAGAGTGATGCGCTAATAGACATACCAGTACAGAGTGATGTGCCTACAGACATACTTGTACAGAGTGATAACCCTATAGATATAATAGTACAGAGCGGTGCACCTGTAGGCACATTATTACTGAGTAATGCGCCCATAGACATGCCGGCAGTGAGTGATACACCTGTAGACATACCCGAACAGATTGATGCACCAATAGACATACCAGTACAGACTGATGCGCCTATAGACATACCCGAACAGACTAATGCGCCTATAGACATACCCGAACAGACTGATGCGCCTATAGACATACCGGCACTGAGTGATGCATCTACAGACATACCCGAACAGAGTGATGCGTCTATAGACATACCGGCACTGAGTGATGCATCTACAGACATACCCGAACAGACTGATGCATCTATAGACATACCCAAACAGACTGATGCGCCTATAGACATACCGGCACTGAGTGATACACCTATGATGCACACTCATGAACAGACCGATGCGCCTATCGACATACCAGAACAGACTGATGCACCGAGACACACCAGTACAGACTGATGCGCCTAAAGACATACCATCAGACTGATGCGCCTAAAGACATACCATCAGACTGATGCGCCTATAGACATACTGGCACTGAGTGATGCACCTACAGGAATACCCGAACAGACTGATGCGCCTATAGACATACCCGAACAGACTGATGCGCCTAAAGACATACCTGAACAGACTGATCCACCTACAGACATACATGAACAGACTGATGCGCCTATAGACATACCAGTACAGAGTGATGCGCCTACAGACATACCGGCACTGAGTGATGCACCTATAGACATACCCGAACAGACTGATGCGCCTATAGACATACTGGCACTGAGTGATGCGCCTATAGACATACCGGCACAGAGTGATGCGCCTATAGACATACCGGCACTGAATGATACACCTACAGACATACCCAACCAGACTGATGCACCTATAGACATAGCCGAACAGACTGATGCACCTATGCACATACATGGACAGACTGATCATGCAATGTAGAGACATGGGCCAGAACAGATTGATGCACCTATAGACATACATGAACAGACCGATGTAGCCTATAGACATACCAGTAAAGAGTGATGGCCTATAGACATACCAGCAGAGTGATGCACCTATGATGCACACGCATGAACAGACCGATGCACCTATCGACATACCAGAACAGACTGATGCAAGTACCGAGACACCAGTACAGACTGATACGCCTTAAAGACATACCAGAACAGAGTGATACGCTCTGTAGACATACCAGAACAGAGTGATACGCTGTAGACATACTAATCCAGACTGATGTGGTTACAGAATCATTAGGAAAGTGTTATGGGCGCGGAGGAACATCATCTCTGAGGTATGGTGACAGTGACTTTGACAGTTCAGATAATGAACTATTGTCAACACTAAGGAGTAGAAAAGGACTGCTCCCTGACAACCACCCAGTATCATCATCAGGTGAAAAATATGATCTAGATACAACCACACTCGACCCATCAGGCCCAGAGTTTTACTTCAGTTCAGAATCTTCAAATGAACCTGTGATCAAAAAGCGAAACTTGTTAAAAGTGAAGACAAGGAAACCACATGACAAAGCAAGCCTAGATACATCCAAGACCCCAACTTTGTCAGCTGCATCAAACAAAAGTCGACAGACCCAAAACTATTCAGCTCAAATGCGCCAGATTCATGAAAGAAGATTGTCACAGCTTGCTCAGTCTTACGGATACACTATACAACAGTTGCCTCGCGGATGGTGACTGCTTCTTTACTGCGCCAGTGCTCCATCCTATCAGGAAGTATGACTGCCACCAATTGATAAAACAACTTTGCGATCATTTAGAAGAAAGGATGAATTATTACATTGACGTTTTTCCTATCAAGGAGGACAGTAATCTAGAAAAATGGCAGGATTATTTACTGGAAATAGAAAAGTTGCGTGAGGCTGGCTACTTCTCCAACAGAGTTGCAGACTTCCTCCCTCTGTCACTGGCAAACTGGTCAGGCCAATGTGTTCGAATATTTTGCAGCAAATCATCTGTCCCCTCGTGACACATTACGCCAACAACCCAAGGAATTGAGAATAAAACCAACGAATTATCTTGGCATATATCTCGATTACAGGACTTCCCGACCACTATGAGTCATTTATGACTCCAGCAATGCCATCTACATCATCAACACACATTTGCCACGGCAGTACTGCATTGACGGCTGCTTCTGCAACATCCCAAGGCAATTCATTCGCCAATTCCGACTGACTTCGAATACAATTCCGTTTCATTAAATTCTGAGAACGATGTTTTGCTATATCACAATGTACTTCCACAAACGATGGTGATATTCCAACACCAACTTTTCATATTCCCAAACCACGAACACCAAGAAAATCAGCAGCTTTTAACTGCGCCTCCAAAGAAGTAATTATTCAGGAAACGCCGAAAGCAACTCCTGAAACCTGGATTAAAAATAAAATGGGAGCACTTAAGACTCTCGGACCAGAATATATGGAAGGAAGACAAAATTATGTGAGCTAGATCTGTACAAGCAGTCGACTGTTCTAACTGTAGGTACAAATGTTCTGCAAACATCTCTGAAGGAACCCGCCAAAGTATTTTTAAAACCTTTTGGAACTTATCCTCATACACAAGACAGAAAGACTTCGTTTGCTCAAACACAACAGAGAAGAAGACTCGCACATACTTGGATGAAGAAGAAAATGTTGTACAGAAAAAAACGTCAAGTTCACCGAACGTACACTTTTCACCTTGATGGAGAACCACACAATGTTTGTAAAACATTTTTCAGAAAAATATTTGATGTTGGTGAATCCTATATCAACCAAATAATAAACCAAGGGATATTTGCTGGTGTCAGACTGTACTGATATGTCTATAGGTGTGTCAGTCTATACTGGTATGTCTATAGGTGTGTCAGTCTGTACTGGTATGTCTTTAGGCCCATCAGTCTGTACTGGTATGCCTATAGGTGTGTCAGTCTCTACTGGTATGCCTATAAGTGTGTCAGTCTGTACTGGTATGTCTATTGGTGTGTCAGTCTGTACTGGTATGCCTATACGTTTGTCAGTCTGTACTGGTATGCCTATAGGCGCATCAGTCTGTACTGGTATGCCTATAGGAGCATCAGTCTGTATTGGTATGTCTATAGGGTGTCAGTCTGTACTGGTATGTGTATAGGTGTCAGACTGTACTGATATGTCTATAGGTGTGTCAGTCTATACTGGTATGTCTATAGGCGCATCAGTCTGTTCCGGTAAATCTATAGGTGTGTCAGTCTGTACTGGTATGCCTATAGGTGTGTCAGTCTGTACTGGTATGTCTATAGGTTTGTCAGTCTGTACTGGTAAGTCTATAGGCGCATCAGTCTGTACTGGTATGTCTATTGGTGTGTCAGACTGTACTGGTATGTCTATAGGTGTGCCAGTCTGAACTGGTATGTCTATAGGCGCATGAGTCTGTACTGGTATGTCTACAGTCGTATCAGTTTGTTCGGGTATGTCTATAGGTGTATTAGTCTGTACTGTTATGTCTATAGGTGTGTCAGTCTGCTCTGGTATGTCTATAGGCGCATCAGTCTGTATTGGTATGTCTATAGGGTGTCAGTCTGTACTGGTATGCCTATAGGTGTGTCAGTCTGTACTGGTATGCCTATAGGCGCATCAGTCTGTACTGGTAAGTCTATTGGTGTGTCAGTCTGTACTGGTATGTCTATGGGCGCATCAGTCTGTACTGGTATGCCTATAGGTGTGTCAGTCTGTACTGGTATGTCTTTTGGTGTGTCAGTCTGTACTGGTATGCCTATAGGTGTGTCAGTCTGTACTGGTATGTCTATAGGCGCATCAGTCTGTATTGGTATGTCCATATGGTGTCAGTGTGTACTGGTATGTGTATAGGTGTCAGACTGTACTGATATGTCTATAGGTGTGTCAGTCTATACTGGTATGTCTATAGGTGTGTCAGTCTGTACTGGTATGTCTATAGGCCCATCAGTCTGTACTCGTATGCCTATAGGTGTGTCAGTCTCTACTGGTATGCCTATAAGTGTGTCAGTCTGTACTGGTATGTCTATTGGTGTGTCAGTCTGTACTGGTATGCCTATACGTTTCTCAGTCTGTACTGGTATGCCTATAGGCGCATCAGTCTGTACTGGTATGCCTATAGGCGCATCAGTCTGTACTGGTATGCCTATAGCTGTTTCAGTCTGTACTGGTATGTCTACTGGTGTGTAAGTCTGTACTGGTATGCCTATAGGTTTGTCAGTCTGAACTGGTATGCCTATAGGCGCATCAGTCTGTATTGGTATGTCTATTGGTGTGTCAGTCTGTACTGGTATGTGTATAGGTGTCAGACTGTACTGATATGTCTATAGGTGTGTCAGTCTATATTGGTATGTCTATAGGCGCATCAGTCTGTTCCGGTAAATCTATAGGTGTGTCAGTTTGTACTGGTATGCCTATAGGCGCATCAGTCTGTACTGGTATGTCTATTGGTGTGTCAGTCTGTACTGGTATGTCTATAGGTGTGTCAGTCTGTACTGGTACGTCTATAGGCCCATCAGTCTGTACTGGTATGCCTATAGGTGTGTCAGTCTCTACTGGTATGCCTATAAGTGTGTCAGTCTGTACTGGTATGCCTATAGGTTTGTCAGTCTGTACTGGTATGCCTATAGGAGCATCAGTCTGTACTGGTATGCCTATAGACGCATCCGTCTGTACTGGTATGCCTATAGGTGTTTCAGTCTGTACTGGTATGTCTACTGGTGTGTCAGTCTGTACTGGTATGCCTATAGGTTTGTCAGTCTGAACTGGTATGCCTATAGGCGCATCAGTCTGTATTGGTATGTCTATAGGGTGTCAGTCTGTACTGGTATGTGTATAGGTGTCAGACTGTACTGATATGTCTATAGGTGTGTCAGTCTATACTGGTATGTCTATAGGCGCATCAGTCTGTTCCGGTAAATCTATAGGTGTGTCAGTCTGTACTGGTATGCCTATAGGTGTGTCAGTCTGTACTGGTATGTCTATAGGTTTGTCAGTCTGTACTGGTAAGTCTATAGGCGCATCAGTCTGTACTGGTATGTCTATTGGTGTGTCAGACTGTACTGGTATGTCTATAGGTGTGCCAGTCTGAACTGGTATGTCTATAGGCCCATCAGTCTGTATTGGTATGTCTATAGGGTGTCAGTCTGTACTGGTATGTGTATAGGTGTCAGACTGTACTGATATGTCTATAGGTGTGTCAGTCTATACTGGTATGTCTATAGGTATGTCAGTCTGTACTGGTATGTCTATAGGTGTGTCAGTCTGTACTGGTACGTCTATAGGCCCATGAGTCTGTACTGGTATGCCTATAGGTGTGTCAGTCTCTACTGGTATGCCTATAAGTGTGTCAGTCTGTACTGGTATGCCTATAGGTTTGTCAGTCTGTACTGGTATGCCTATAGGCACATCAGTCTGTACTGGTATGCCTATAGACGCATCCGTCTGTACTGGTATGCCTATAGGTGTTTCAATCTGTACTGGTATGTCTACTGGTGTGTCAGTCTGTACTGGTATGCCTATAGGTTTGTCAGTCTGAACTGGTATGCCTATAGGCGCATCAGTCTGTACTGGTATGTCTATAGGTTTGTCAGTCTGTACTGGTAAGTCTATAGGCGCATCAGTCTGTACTGGTATGTCTATTGGTGTGTCAGACTGTACTGGTATGTCTATAGGTGTGCCAGTCTGAACTGGTATGTCTATAGGCGCATGAGTCTGTACTGGTATGTCTACAGTCGTATCAGTTTGTTCGGGTATGTCTATAGGTGTATTAGTCTGTACTGTTATGTCTATAGGTGTGTCAGTCTGTACTGGTATGTCTATAGGCGCATCAGTCTGTATTGGTATGCCTATAGTGTGTCAGTCTGTATTGGTATGTCTATAGGTGTATTAGTCTGTATTGGTATGTCTATAGGTGTGTCAGTCTATACTGGTATGTCTATAGGTGTGTCAGCCTGTACTGGTATGCCTATAGGTGTGTCAGTCTGTACTGGTATGTCTATAGGCGCATCAGTCTGTACTGGTATGCCTATAGGTGTGTTAGTCTGTACTGGTATGTCTATAGGTGTGTAAGTCTGTACTGGTATCTCTATAGGCCAATCAGTCTGTACTGGTATGTCTATAGGCGCATCAGTCTGTACTGGTATGTCTATTGGTGTGTCAGTCTGTACTGGTATGCCGATAGGTGTGTCAGTTTGTACTGGTATGCCTATAGGCGCATTAGTCTGTACTGGTAAGTCTATTGGTGTGTCAGTCTGTACTGGTATGTCTATAGGCGCATCAGTCTGTACTGGTATGCCTATAGGTGTGTCAGTCTGTACTGGTATGTCTATAGGTGTGTAAGTCTATTCTGGTACGTCTATAGGCCCATCAGTCTGTACTGGTATGTCTATAGGCGCATCAGTCTGTACTGGTATGTCTATTGGTGTGTCAGTCTGTACTAGTATGTCTGTAGGCGCATCAGTCTGTACTGGTATGCCTATAGGTGTGTCAGTCTGTACTGGTATGCCTATAGGCGCATCAGTCTGTACTGGTATGTCTATTGGTGTGTCAGTCTGTACTAGTATGTTTGTAGGCGCATCAGTCTGTACTGGTATGCCTATAGGTGTGTCGGTTTGTACTGGTATGCCTATAGGCGCATCAGTCTGTACTGGTAAGTCTATAGGTGTGTCAGTCTGTACTGGTATGTCTATGGGCGCATCAGTCTGTACTGGTATGCCTATAGGTGTGTCAGTCTGTACTGGTATGTCTTTTGGTGTGTCAGTCTGTACTGGTATGCCTATAGGTGTGTCAGTCTGTACTGGTATGTCTATAGGTTTGTCAGTCTGAACTGGTATGCCTATAGGCGCATCAGGCTGTATTGGTATGTCTATAGGGTGTCAGTC